CTTGAAAAGTATTCTGTGTGTGTGTGTGTGTGTGTGTGTGTGTGTGCACACGCGTGCATGCGCGCACCCAAAATCCCAGGAGGAGAATGGAGAAGAGACTGAAGCATGGCCTTCCCCGCTAGGGGGTGATTTTCCCTCTTGTTGTTTCTCTCTGTTTCCCTCCAGTGAGCACAAGGGTCTTACGGGAAAAAACCTGAAAAAGAAAAAAAAAGAAAAGAAACCGAAGGGACAGTTCTGTGGTGCAACAGCAATCCTCCGCCCAAGAGAAATCAGATCCTACATGAAGACCACGGTTTGAATCCCTGGCCCGGTCAGCCTGAAACACTCAGGGCACACACGCAAGTACCCAAGATCCAGTGGGCCAGAGGACTGGAGAACGAGGACTGTGGCGAGACTAGACCGTGTAGAGGATGCTCATCTCTATCTCACACTGTCACGTGTGTGTACACATGCTCTGTTATGAATAAAAGGAAAAAATTAGAGAGAAACCTAGTCACAGAGGACGAATGACTTGCCAGCGTTGTCCAAGTTCGAGGCAGGGAGAGCCTGTCGGTGCTGATGAAGCGGGGAGGGAGGTCAAGGGGGAAAGCCTTGGGGAATGCCTCTGTAGAGGGACCCAAGTCTAGAGAGCTGGGTCCCTTATCCCCAAAGCAAATAGGAAAGAAGGGACTGGGAGCCAGGGGGTCTCATGGTCCTTACTCTTCAGGCTTCCACTTGCATGGGAACAGTCCAGGACCCCACCCCCACCCCTGCCCTCTTCAGCTCCGCCCTAATATCCACACAGACTCAGACCTCACCACTGTGCCAAGTAGACAGCCCAGAGTGGAAGAGGAGGAAGTGAGACAGTGGATGATCACACCAGTTTGAGAAATGAGGAAGTGAGGGGTCCACACACCATTCGGCTGACAGATTAAGGAAGCATGAAGGAAACAGCACTCAGGAAGGGCCACAGACAGCCAGCTAAATCCAATGAAAGCAAGCCAGCCTCCAGCTGGGCCTGTGTTCAAATCCCAGCCGTGCCGTATACCAGCACCTCACAATCCCCTCTGCAGTTATATCATCAGGACCCGGTGATGGGAAGGTCCAAGAGGAACCCAAGCTTAGGATGAGCCAAGAGAACACATGAGTCCATGACAAGGCTGGGCTACGTTAACAGATGCATCACAGCCTCACACTCAGATCACGGAGGTGTCCTCTCCCTACACAGGACCATGTCAAGAGCACTGGGGTCATTTTTGGGAACTACTTTTTTTTTCTTTTTGGAGAAGTTTTTGCTGTAGGGCGTGTGCGTTTGCCAAGAAGATAGAGAGAGATAGAGGGACAGAAAGCAGGAAGTCACTCCCCCAGGGGGGATGGCCAGTCTGCAATCCCTTCTCCTCCATTCTCCTCTCAGGATCTTGGGCACACACATGTGCCCAGAGTGAGTTTAAGCCACCGGGTCTGGAACTCGAACCACAGTCGACTACACAGGAGTCCAGCGATGTAGCCGTTATGCCATCTGCTGGTCTTGGGAACCACTTATTTTGCTAACTTTTTTTATTATTATTACTTACTCATTTATCTTATTGGGTTGTCAGAAAAGCCATGATGCATTTTTGCATACAATAATACGTCATGGCTTTTTCAATGGCCAAATATTTATTTGTGATTTTCAAACTGCTAGGTCTGAGACTTGAACTGCAGTCGACCATGTGGGAATCCAGTGCCTTAACCACCACATCACCTGCTGGCCCCTTATTTTGCTAACTTTTAAGTAATTGACTTTTCTATTTCTAAAATAGAAGTATTTTTTCTGTTTTTATATTCCTAAGACATGATGGTAGAGAGAGCTTGGGAAGTACAGAAAAACATAAATCACACACAATTCCTGGTCTTGAATCACAGAGGTTCTCAAAGGGAGTCCCGGGACCAGCAGCAGCAGCAATAGCATTACTGGGAACTTGCTAGAAATCCTCACTTCCCTACCAGACGACTGAATCAGAAACACCCCCAAGTGATTTTGATGCCAGGCTTTTCCTTCCAGTCTTTTTTCCCTAAAAGGACAAGAGAGTCATGTCTCAGCACCACGAGGCCCCAGCTGGGTCCAACACAGAGCAGGGCCTCAGTAAGCATCTGCTGAGGAGGTGAACGAATGAATGACCCTTCTCACATGTGCAGCTGTCTCCCTGGGGCCTGCCCTTCACCACAGTCCATTTCTACCCATGAAGATGCTGCATTCATGCCTGCTCCATCTCTCTACAGTGCCCAGGGGGACCCAGGCCTCTGGGGACTCGTCCCAGCTGCAGGCAGAATGCCCGCCAGCCCCTCCTGGCACGGTCCCCTGGGAGAGGGTGAGTTGACAAAGGCGGTCTTGTGGCCCACACAGGCAGGTCTACTGGGATGTGGGGGCAGAAGCTGGTGATGCAAGACTTAGGAAGGGCTCTGAGCATTTGTGGCCTGATGGGGGAGAACAGGGCTGCCGGGCACGTGAGGGGAACCAGGAGGGCAGGACCTGCTCTCCTCCAGAGGCTCACAGTCCTCAGTGAGCCTAAGAAGCTGTTGGGGGCCAGTTGAATGCAATGGGGTGTGTGGGCTTCCCAGCTCCTTCACAGACAGGTCAGTGGCCCAGCCAGACAGCTTCTTTTTCCAACCCCACAACCCCCATAAGGAAGTGGGAAGGGAGGGCCCAAATTCCACAGGACTCAGCAGGGACTCAGCAGGCCTTGAGGTTATAATCAAGGTTGTGCAGTCCCCCAAGCATGGATGGGGAAACCCCATCCTCCACTGCAGACAGCAGAAGGTCACACTGCCTGGCAGAGCTCCCCTCAGGGCCTGGGTGCTCCAATTCTCAACCCCATAGTCAGAAATAATGCCCTAAGGAAGCTGGGAAAGGGGCCAGGCCAGGCATGGCCGGCCAGCCCCTCCCAATCTGGCCACCTCTCGCATGTTGACCTCTCTTCCCCTTGACACTCACCCTGATTGTTTAACCAGGACTAAAAACGGGCAGAGCAAGCAGGGGTGGGGGACCGGAGCAGAGCCCCCGCACTGCCGCCAGCGTAGTCAGCCTCTTCCTTTCTGGAGAAGTCAGTTTTGCTCTTATCACACAGGGAATACCTGCTCATCGGAGAAACCCGAAAAAAGCGGATGGCTTTCTGTCTCCTCCCCTAGTTCCCACAGGCTTCTGCATCAGGTCCAAGCCCCTCCTCCTGAACCCCAAATCAGCCCCTGGTCTCCTCTGTACTCCTGCTTTGCCTGTGCCCTCCAGAGTCCAATGATGCCAAGACTTAAAAATGACCACCACCTACTGCAAGGCTCACTCCCTGCCAGGCCCCAGCCCAGGCCCAGCGTGTACATCAGGGACTAGCGGCTCAATCTTCCTCCAACCCTGCGAGGTGCTGCCGAGAATGTTCCTCCTTCACCAGTGAGGAGACTGAAGCCCAGAACTCCTCAAGCAAGGGAGGAACAAAGCCGAACTCCAAACAGGCCATGACTCTGGGCCGGTGCATGGTAACTGTGTGTTCTTCCAGGTTGTTTGCTTTTGTTTTTTTTCCTAGTTTATTTCATCCATAAGAGGGACCAGCAGTTGGCGTAATGGCTATGTCGCTGGACTCCCATGTAGTTGACTGCAGTCTGAGTCCTGGACCCAGTGGCTTAAACTCACGCCGGGAGCATGTGCGTGCGTGCCTAAGATCCCGAGAGAATAGAGGAGAAGGGATTGCGGCGTGGCCATCCCCCCAGAGAGTGATTTCTCATTTTCTGTCTCTGTCTCTCTCTGTCTTTTTGATGAGCACACTGCCCTATAGCAAAAACCTCTTAAAAAATAAATGAATAAAATAAAATAAAATAGAAATATTTCATCCATGAGAACACAGACAGGGAGAGAAAAAGAGGAGGAACCCCAGTGGGTCTTCATGCTGCAATCCACACACCCCAGCCCCAGCACGCCTGGATCATGTGGGCACATGCACACAGCGTGTGCAGGGATGGCTTGGGATGTGAACCCAGGACCCATGGGAGCCCGGCATTGGAGTCCGGCATTGCACAGCATTGCACTGTCTCTTCTTCCTGGATTGCTCGGGCTATTCCGTCTGCTAGGATGATCCTTACCAGCCTAACATCTAACTCCCTCGGCCTTCCAGAACATCCCCTCCTCCTCTAATCTGATCCAAACCCCACACTCTGAACTCCACAGGCCCGAGTGCTAACAACGTTGGGTTGTGATCCCCTGTTTTCAAGTCTGTCTCCCCCAAGAGTTGGGGAACAAGAGCAAGGTCCCCAGCATCACCCAGGGCAGGATGTGGTACAGAGCAGGCAGCCACTACAGCCGGAGATGAATGAATGAAAGATGAGTATGGCCGTGGCCCTGCCCAGTCTGTCTCCACAGCCTGGGGTGGCTACCCCTCCTGATCCCCGCTCTGAGCCATCTAGCTGCAAACGGTCAGGGAAGGTCTGAGTGGATCCAGAGCTGACCTGGGCCCTCCATGCCACCCCGAGAGGATGGGCAGGGTCTCTCCACTCAGGAAACTTCTTGCTTACTGCATGATCTCAACCCATGAAGTGCATCTCTGTCCCTCTCCTGGTGATCCATGGGGCCAGCCTGCAGGAAGCAGCCTCTCAGAGGCAGAGCTATTCCCCTGCAGGGACTGGTTCCCAGGACTCCTGGGGGATTGGTCAGGAAGAGTCTCTTGATCCAGGCTGGCCGGAGGGACAAACATGAGCTCACACTACTGCTAATAATAGCCAGGCTGCAGCCCAGGGCTTCACAGTTTACAGACATTCCTTCTGAATCATCTCATGGACCCTCATAGAAATTCCTTGGTCAAGCAATACAGCAGCCATCACCTGTCCTACACACAGAGGACCAGAAGCAGACATACAGGTCAGATGAGCCGTGTCAGAGGCCAGCGAGCAGGGGCTGAGAGCCCTCCAAGTAGGATTGAGACCACTGACCTCAGGATCTTCTCCCTATACCGGAATTCAGGGTGTCCATGAACTTGGGAGAATCACATCTTCATTCACCAACCTCCAACTAAAAATCAGCTTTCTAATGCGGATCAATGGAACAAGCTGTGATTATATTAGCAGTTACCTGTAACTCTGCTAGCAAAACAAATCACAGATATTTTCATATCACATAACGGTTGTTGCAGAGATGTCAAAATATTGTTTACACTCATCAGTACTTTGAAATTATAGTAGTTAAGAGGCCTTGCGATCAGCAGTTAGCGTAATGGCTATGTCACTGGACTCCCATGTAGCCGACCGCGGTTTGAGTCCCGGACCCGGTGGCTTAAACTCACACCAGGCGCGTGTGCGTGCATGCCCAAGATCCCGAGAGGAGAATGGAGAAGGGATTGCGTGGCTTCCCCCCTGGGGGGGGTTCTCACTTTCTATCTCTCTGTCTCTGTCTTTCTGGCGAGCGCACGCACCCTATAGCAAAAACCTCTCCAAAATAAATAAATAAATAAATAGAGAGGCCTGTCATCAGCACTCAGGAGTTAATAAACTCATCACTACATCATCATCAATAGAATGTATTTTAATAATTATTTCAATGTTTGGTCTCCTTTGCATGCCGTTTTATTTATTTTTTAAGTTTTTGCCATAGGTCATAGGCTCACCAAACAGAGACAGAGAGAGGGAGAGTGACAAATCACCTGGTGCATCGGGGCGATGCCCATGTCACAGTCCCTTCTCCTCTGCCGTTGTCTTGGGATTTTTGGGCACGCACACACACATGTCCGGTGTGATTTTCGATCTGCTGAGTCTGGGACTCCAACTGCAGTCAGCCATGTGGGAATCCAACGCCTTAACCTCCATGCCAAGCCACCTGCTCCTGTATTTCATTTTTTTTTTAATTATTCAATTTTATTTATTCACTCATTTATTTAAATTTGACCAGAGAGAGAGAGGAAGTGAGAAAGCAAGCCACCAGGTCTGGGACTCAAACCGTGGTCAGCCATGTAGGAGTGTCCATCACCTTAACCACCATGTCACCTGCTGGTCCCCACTGTATTTCGTTTTAAACACAAACATTATTCTGAGAATTATCTTCAGCAGAGCTTGAAGGTGTCTGTGGCACAAAATAAGATGGAGCCTCTGTTCTCTCCGGAGCTGCTTCGTCTGGGGATGAAGGATGCTGGCCCAGATCCCCCATCTACAAAGGGATAAAGCAGGAGAAGCAGACCTCCACTTTTAAGCCACTTTTTTTAAAAGTTTATTTTATGCGTGATCGAGAGTGTGAGTACACACACGAGAAAGAGAAAAGAAAGCATCCTTAATAGGGTCTGGTCATGGCACAATCCCCGTCCCCCAACTCTTCAGTTCCTCAGAATCTTGGGCCCGAGCACCTGCCCAGCATGAGCTCAGGTCATCTAGGGACCTGAACCAGCGGTCGGCCATGTGGCTTCCAGCACCGCAGTTCAGTAAGCTATGGACCGCACCACCAGACTGGGCCATTAGCCACATTATAAATGTTGCAGGTGAGAGTGCTTTCTGTGAGAAGCCAACACAAATGTAAGATGACTAATCTTTGCACAATGGGACAGAGGGGAGGTTAGCTTTGGGGAGATTAGCACTGCAACCCTTGTAAGTGACTCTACCTGCATAGGCCTGGTGGAACTGGCCCGTAGGAGATGCTGAGCTGGGGGGCTACAGAAGGGGAACGAACATGAGGCCCCTCTGCAGAAACAGCAAGTGGCAATGGGTGGCCTGAACTCAGCAACGGCTCACAGCTGGTCCTGAGGGGACAGGGAGGAAAACGAGGCAACATGGGTTTCCTGAAGGCAGGAGGAGGTCGCCTCTCATCAGCCACATGCAAGGGACGAATACAAAGTGGAGGTCCCCTACCCACCTCCCACCTACAGTCAGCCCCAGCTTCCCCAGGGACCTCTGAAATGAGCCCTGAAGACCACATTCAAGAAGCCCTGGATATCCCAAGGCTGGATGAGGAGAGGGGAGCTGGCTTCTCATCCCATCCAGCTCCCAAGCACTTCTTGTGTCTCCTTCCCCTCTGTACCTGTCTCATAACTTGTTGTCTCTCCACTTCAAATGCCACCTCCACCAAGAAGTCTTCCTGGCTGCCCCAGGGTATAACTGTTCGATTTGAACAAGTACTCAGTAGCTATGATGGGCCAGTCCTATCACCAAAATGATAGAATTTAATCCTCACAATGGTCACTCTGCTCATCACTAATCTGCTCTCCCTCAGTACTGGGAGTGATTTTTCTTTCAATCTGCTATATGGCGTGTGAGCTCACCAAACAGAGACAGAGACAGAAAGACAAACCACTCCTCCATTCTCCTCTCAGGATTTTGGGTGTATTTTTCAAGCCACTGGGTCTGGGACTAGAACCGCACAGTCAGTCATGTGAGACCCAGCAGCCCAACCACCATGCCATCTGGCAGGCCTGGGAGTGACTTTTTAAAAATCATGTTTAAAACTTGTCTTTTTTTTTTTTCTTTTTTGAGAGGTTTTTGCTATAGGGCGCATGCGCTCACCAGAAAGACAGAGAGAGACAGAGAGACAGAAACTGAGAAGTCCCCCCCGGGGGGGATGGCCACGCTGCAATCCCTTCTCCATTCTCTTCTTGGGATCTTGGGCACGCACGCACACACACCTGGCCTGAGTTTAAGCCACTGGGTCTGGGATTTGAACCGTAGTTGACTACATAGGAGTCCAGCGACGCCTGGTCGCTAACTGCTGGTCCCTAAAACTTGTCTTAGAATGTGGTTAAAAACGGTTTAAAACCCTCCAAATGAGCACCCAAATCTGGAAACCACCCAAATGTCCTTGAACAGGCAAAGGGATAAACTGTGGCCCGTTCACGGAATGAGATACTGCTCTGCAATAAAAAGGAAGGGCCTGGGGCAGAGGATCCGCAGTATGCAGTGCTCAGTGAGGCTGCCCATGTGGGTGGGTTCTGGGCTTGCCAGGGAGACCTCCCTGAGGACACCGGCTCGTGTGCACTCGTGACTTGGGCTAGCTAAAGCCAAGGGTGGACTGTGGCATCAAGACCCTGCTGGAGGCCAGCAGGTGGCGTAGTGGTTAAGGTGCTGGACACCCATGTGGTCAACCGTGGTTCCAGTTCCAGACCTGGCAGCATGGGAACCATGTAGGGCGTGCGTGCATGCCCAAAATCCCGCGAGGAGAAGGGACTGTAGTGCAGCCATTCTCCTAGGGGGTGATTTCACACCTTCCCTCTCTGTCTGTCTCTCTCTGGCAAGCACATATGCCCTAGGACAAAAACTTTAAAAAAAAAAAAAAAAAGAGACTTGTCTCTGTATCTTTCTCTCCATCGCTCTTGCTCATAGAAGAAATAAATAAAACAGAAGCTTCCCCCCCCCATTTTTTAAAAAGGAGGGATCGTGGATGCATCCACCATGGATGGGGCTCAAATGCAGGCCGCTGAGTGAAGAAAGCCAGACCCGGAGGCACATGTGAACAGCATGCATGATTCTGTCATATGACCTCCTAGAAAAGGCAAGGCCATGGGGACAGCAACCAGATCGGCAGTTGCGGGGTCGGAGATGGAGGGGAAACTGACCTCTCAGGGGATGTTCCAGGGGCAGTGACACCGTTCTGTGTCTTGACTGGGGAAGAGGTTGCGGGGCAGGTACGTTTGTCAAAACTCATCGTCTCTACGTAATCGCAGCTCAATACTCCTGACCTCAACGCGAAACAGCAAACCTCCGGTAAGTCCTCATCACACTCAAAATAAAACCCCGATTCCATCACAGGGGTGCGGCCCCAGCTGCCCCCCACCTCCGGCCCACCTCCGGCCCACCTCTCTATCCTCCTCTCCCTCCATTCATTCCCTCGTTGGCTCCATCCAACCACTGTGGTCTTCTCTCAGCAATCAGGCGACACTCGCCTGTCCCACCGCTAAAGCTTTGCACTTGCCTCCACTCTGCCTGGATTTCCTGGCCTTCCTGGGCACCACTGGCTTTGCTTCCTGTCTGAAGTTGCCACTTGAATGCCACTTCCTCAGAGAAGCCTTCTAGGCATTTCCTAGGCTCACTGTGTCCATCTGAACTTTTTGTCCTCTCATGGTATGAATTACAGGTTGACTGAAGTTTTTGCTTGTGGAATGTTGGACTCTACCACTAGGAGGGGACGTGCTGGTGGACAGAGCCTAGCACAGTGATTGGCACACACAGGAACAGCACAATAAATAGCTGTTGAATGAATAAACGGATCCTTGTGGGGAGCGCCCCCAAAGCCACTTCTAGTCAGTGCTGCTGTGTCTCAGTCCAGTTCTTGGATTCTGTGATGCTAATGCCCTGGTGGTGGGCCTCAAATCCCAATCCACCGATACCCAGGCACAGCCGTGCCCATTTCTAACCACTCCTGAATCCATCACCTCTTCCCACCGGGTTCCAGCGGCCCAGGAGGAGCGACAGGGCTGAGCTGAGGGCACAGAACCCTCACTGTGTGAGGCACACCCTCCCCAGGGGACAGAAGTCTGCCTGGCCTGCCTTTTCCCACCGCGCTGGCCACCACAGTCCCTCCCTCAGGCCCGGGCCCAGGCTGCCAGCCCATCTGCCACCCTGGCTCTGGGCCACTTGTTTCTCTCCCCGGCCCAGGCCACTCACCCAAGCCCCAGAAGGGCTGACCTGCAGGGCGGGCCAGCAGTGGCCGCAGGGGCGGTGTGCTGTGCCAGCCCCCCCTTGAGGCCAGGGCGGCCATCTGCTGTCCCTTCTGCTGGTCCCCCGAGGGGTCTGTCAAGGCTCCAGATGAGATCATTGTAGTAAGGCCCCAAGAAGGGATCCACAGAAGGCTCCACAATGTGCCATTTCCCTCGGCTCAACTGCAAACAGTCAGCCATGGCAGCTGGGGGTCCAGGGACTCCATCCCTTCACAGACAGGGAATGGAGGCCTAGAGAGGGACAGGGGACTGTCCTTTAGTGCCTAAATGGGTCCATACTTGAGCAGGAGGGACTCTGGGCTCCTGCCTCCTAGCCCAGAGCTCAGTCTGGCTCAGTTTCCTTGGAGGAAAGCTTGGTTCTATTTGTTTGTTTGTTTGTTTGTTTGTTTAAGAGAGAGATTTTTGCTATAGGGCACGTGTGCTCACTGGAGAGACAGAGAGACAGAAGGCAAGAAGTCACTCCCCAGGGGGATGGCCACACGACAATCCCTTCTCCTCCATTCTCCTCTGGGGGAGGGGAGAAAACTATCACTTGGGACCAGCAGTTGGCATAATGGCTATGTCGCTGGACTCCCATGTAGTTGACCGCGGTTCGAGTCCCAGACCTGGTAGCTTAAACTCACACCAGGAGCACACGCGCCTGAGAGGAGAATGGAGGAGAAGGGATTGCAGCGTGGCCATCCCCGCTGGGGGGTGATTTCTCGCTTTCTGTCACTCTGTCTCTCTCTAATCCTTCTGGCAAGCTCATGCATCCTATAGCAAAAACCTCTCCAAAAAAAATAAATAAGACTGTGGGATGATGGTGACAACAGCAGCTAACAGGTACAAGGCCTAGTGTGAGCCAGACCCCAGACAGAGACTGCAGAGCCATCCTCTCTTGCTCAGTATCATCCTTTAGAGGTGATGTTATTAGTATCTTATCCCCATTTTACAGACGAGCAAAGGGAGGCTCAGGAAGACGAAGGGCCTGTAGCCAGTCAAGAGTGGTCCCCCCATTTCCAGCACAGCCCTGAGCATGAGCACACCGATGCCCCCTGCCAGAGAGCCGTGTGCATGTTTATGTGTGTGTGCATGCATGTGCACACGCATGAGATGCCTGGAGACTCCCCCCCCCGCAAGGACACGCCTGGCTTAACGCTGCCCCATTCAAAGCCTTGCCCCACAGAGCGGAGGCGCCCACAGTCCCAGCTGCCTCTCTCGGGTCCCTCCAGACTCTCCAGTCCTTTCCGTGTGAACAGGAAGCAAGGCAGCATCTGGATCTGTCCCCACATGGCCTCTGAGCCACAGCCAAATCTCTAGCCAGGGACAGAACAGACCTCAGAGGTCTTTAGGGACAAAAGCGGGGCTCTGGGAGTCAAGGCCGTGTGGCGTGAAGCTCTGGGACCCTAGCACTTCACACTTCCAAGCCTTTAAAGCTGTTCCCTCTGCCTGGCACCCAGGGAAGGGCACCTCCGGACGCTCGCTTACCCTGTCTCTTGCAATTCACAAGCTATGTAACCTCTGGGAAGCCCCTTACCCTCTCTGGGCCTCAGTTTACACCTGTGTAAAAGGAAGGGGCACCCCAGCAGGTGCCTGCCCCCATGCAGAACAGGGCAGGGGCTCAGACATGAAGCCTGTAATTACCTAATAAGTCCTCTAATTGCTGTTGCGGTGATGCCCCAGGAGCCCACAGGGAGCTGCGGGGGTCTAGAGCAAAGGGGCGCACCCAGGGAGATGTGTTGGGGTGCTCTCATGCACACCTCCTGCCTGGAGCAGCCCCAGCAAGAGCTACTGGAATGGAAAGCATGAAGGTGGAGACACAAAGGCCCAGCGCCGGGAAGGCTCAGGGACAGAGCCGGCTGTGCCCCACAGCGGGAGCCCGGGTGGAGTCAGGTGGGTGAGACTGCAGGAGGCAGGGTACCATGGCGGCTCAGCCACAGGGATGGCCAAGGAGCAGCAGGGAGAGGGAGGGGAGAGGCTGGTGCGACTGACCAGGCCCAGAGATGGGAAGCCATTGAGGCA